CAGGTGCCCCCAGGTGTACCCAGGTGTGCCCCAGGTGCCCCCAGGTGCCCCCAGGTGTACCCCAGGTGTGCCCAGGTGCCCCCAGGTGCCCCCAGGTGCACTGCTCACCTGTTGAAGTTGAGCAGGGACTGCCAGCGCTGCGATTTGAAGTTCTTGATGTTCTGCGCCTCGTCCAGGATCAGGTACTTCCAGTTCTTCCTGCGGAACGCCTGGTGGTCCTGCAGCACCAGCTTGTAGGAGGTGATGCACACGTGGAAGGCGTTGGGCTTGGTCCAGCCCTGCAGGTGACACAGGTGGCACAGGTGAGACAGGTAACCCCAAAATCCCCACGAGAAACTGCCTTAAAACAGCCTAAACCACCCTAAAAATGACCTAAAACCCGCCCAGGTGTGCCCAGGTGTGCCCAGGTGTGCAGCACCAGCCTGCACCAGGTGATGCACACGTGGAAGGCGTTGGGCTTGGTCCAGCCCTGCAGGTGACACAGGTGACACAGGTGACACAGGTGACACAGGTGAGCTCAAAACTGCCTTAAAACCACCTCAACACCTCTAAAAAATCTCCTTGAAACAGCTCAGGTGCCCCCAGGTGTGCCCAGGTGCGCTCACCTGTCTCTTGCACACTCAAACCCCTCCCAGGTGTGCCCAGGTGTGCTCAGCTGTCTCCTGTACCCTCAAACCCCGCTCAGGTGTGCCCAGGTGCGCTCACCTGTCTCTTACACACTCAAACCCCTCCCAGGTGTGCCCAGGTGTGCCCAGGTGTGCTCACCTGTCTCTTGCACACTCAAACCCCCCCCAGGTGTGCCCAGGTGTGCTCACCTGTCTCTTGCACACTCAAACCCCCCCCCAGGTGTGCCCAGGTGTGCCCAGGTGTGCTCACCTGTCTCTTGAGGCGCCGCTCCTTCTGCGCGCCGTAGTAGGTGAGGATCTTGAAGCTGGGGCACCAGCGCTTGAGCTCCATCTCCCAGTTGAGCATCACCGAGGTGGGCACGATGATCAGGTGAGGGCCCCAGCTGCCTGCACAGGTGAGGGACAGGTGAGACACAG